TTTGATCGTATGCCCGGCTATAGTCTGATCCCTCGACCAGGATTAAAAGCTCTTACTGCGGGGCCATCCTGTTCATACGCAGGTGGCATGCGTGCTACCATCCTATAGCCCAGTAGGGATTGTAGTGTACAATGAGCTGGTTCTGTGTATTTCCAACAGCGCGTGTCCCAAATGACGGGCATCTGAGAGCATTCGGGAACAGCTAGGTGCACACCAGAGGTCCGCTTACCTGCTGACCTGCAAGTGTGCTTTGTTCTCGAACGACCTTGGCTTTCTGAAATCCCGCATTGGCTCATTTGTGAGGGACCACCCTTGACATACCATCACCAAATACACCATCCTAGATATCTCACAAGAATTAGAACAGTGAAGACCTCAAAAGGGGTGTGCGTGTGTGGGGGGGGACACTTGAGCCGTACACCTTGCATGAAATCATGTGAAGCTGCACCATGAGGTGACACGCACCATGCATAGGTTTATGACAGGTTCTAGTCAGAACCACTGGCGATCGGGGGACTCCGTGAAAGCACTTTCTGTTGTTCCATTTCCTTTTTTTTCTGAAGCGTGTAAAAAGCCCCCAAACGTAGCCCCACCCGCAGAAAGGCTATAAAAGTTTCATAAAAAAAAGACTGAGACCCCTGAAAATTTGGTTCTGGATGCACCCTAGGTTACGATGAGGTAATTTATCTAGTCCCCGCAATGTCGTGACAACTAGAGCTCCTAGTATATTCTGAGTTACAAAGCCAACCAAACCTATATATAGATATATATTATATCAGTGGAAGAATAGGCAACACATGGCAGGGTTACCAGACCAGTTTTCATAGGCCAGTCTAAGCAGAAGCTGCATTTTCCAACAGAAGTTGAAGAAATAACCTGACTTATCAGACCTATAAAAGACAAGGCTCATGTTAAACCCCTTCCAATTTTTTACAAAGAAAAATATTCTTTTCTTCATATACTTATATCACATACTATATCTCGTCTGATCGATGCAAGACTGGAGGGGGGGAATATTTTTGTGGTGCCGTTTAAGAAACCATGCTATGCTGGCCTTATATTTGGGGAACCGGACCAAGATGGCTGCCTTTTTTGTTTTCAAATGCCGCTGGTGTCCTGCTCACTTCTTGGCTGCCAACTGTGATTTCATGCTTTGGATCTTGGCAGTCAGGGCCCGGTTACCAAGGCAATGCCTCATGACTTGGTTGAGGTCTTCCTCGCTTCTCTGCTGAAAGGCAAGATCTGCGGCTTCTTCCATGGAACTACAACAGAAGAAAAAACAAGAATGTTTGCGACCCCTCTGGATGAAGGCAAGCTGTCAGAAGTCACAGAAATGACTTCGTTGATAAAGGCAAACCACAAACTCATATCTGCAAGAATTCTGTGAAATGCTACAATGGGAATTATACCTGTGTAAGACTTTTATTTTCAAGATAATCATTACCGCCAAAAGCAGGCACTGGAGCCAAAGAACTTTGAACTTCATAATATAGGCTCAATTATTTGACTCAATATACAGGCTCAACATTATCATATGAGACACACTATATGGAACTTGTATTAAAAGAAAAGTGTTTCATCACGCTCACTTCTCCCCTAAAAAAAATCTCAGACGCATTCTTGTCCGTCACCAGCTAAGCAAATCCCATTTTTTCCGAGAGGAAAAAGTTCTCAAGGAACCGTTTGGCTTCTTCGTGAAAAGGAGGGAAAAGAACATGCTGTCAGGAGAGGGTAATTGTTGTTGGTGAACAGTCTTTATAACCCAGCGTAAGGTAAAACACAATCAATGACGATCGAGAACAATTTTTTGGAATTCACTTTTTCCTTTTTTTAAAAGAGATCCTCACCCCATTTTGATGTACATTTTAACCTTGTTCTCGGCTGCCACTCTTCCTATGTACTTGTTGGCCTCATACTTGTTATGGTGGTTCATACAGACTTCAACAAATGGCTAGAGGACACGTTTCAGGTGAGGAAACAAAGGTTTGAGTTATTTTCAATCGTCGAAAATTGGCAGTTTATACTTCAAATTTACGACAGAGAAATTTGACTGCACTAAAGCAACAGGTGTAGTGTTTAGGTACTTCAAGCTGGATGTACGGTTTTTAAAATTTGTTCTATCCACGCTCAGAGTTACTATTTACAAAGCAACACCGGTCCCTTTGTGGCAACTCACCGTGTGCGTGCACAGGTTCATGGACGTTTTTCGCAGGACGTGCTGAGCATGCACGCCGACGAGTCTGTTGACACGGTCTCTGTACATGCGTTTGCGCCGCGTTGGCATGTGCTCAAGCCCGGTTGGCAAACTTAACCACAGGCCTGTCTCTTCTTTGCTGGCAAGGGTGGATTTCAACTCTGGGCAGACGGCGTGCCCGCGGTTCATACGCGTTTTGTGCGGGATGTGCGGAGAAAGTGTTGTCAATTTATGTTTGAATGTACAGGCTTTGTACGTGTGTCGGTTGTGCAAACAAGCCTCCCCATTCTTTGCTGATGAGGGTGCACTTCAACCCGGAAGGGATAATACAGAGTTATTTAGACACTCTAGTTCCTAACGCCTCTTATTTCAGACGGAATTTTAAATTCGTGTAACTGCAAATGATCCGATGAGCCTCAAACACACCGATTATCCCCGTAGATTTCCCCTTGCGTACCTCATATCCAATGGGGGACTTCTTGCTTTTTGCAAACTTCTCGAGTTCAATCCAGTCACCCGAGTTTGCCAGTGCGTCTATTTTCAGCCACCAGAATCTATGTAATTGGAATTGAAATGGTACTGAATCTCAAACAATACTAACAAGAATACTGGAGTTCACCTTTAGGGTAAACAGAGGCAAAAGAAATTATTTCATGAGCCCTGAAAACCAAACAAAGTCCCAGACGAATGTGACATTCAAAACACAATTCGTTTGGTGTGAAATTTTTTCCCCAGAAATTCGCTGTTTCACAAAATCTGTGAATAAACACTGTGCACCATTCCACAAACAACAAATACAGAATACATCCTTAATTTCAAGGAAATATTTACCCAGGATTGTTGCCATATTTTAATGACCATTTGTACAATCCTTTTCAATTCTCAGAGTTCTTCTTCTGTGCAAACAGACAATCGTTACACAAGTTCTTTGCTTTCATCCAACAATTCAGCGTCTCCACCAGTGCCCTCGATCGGCAATGCATAACGGGCCTGTCCCCGACACCCACCTTTTGTCTGGCACCTTGAATTCCTTCCGCAGCTGCTCGGCCAGCTTGCCCATGTTCTTGGATACCAGCTCGTGCATGGTGTTGTGCAGCGACTTACCAATGAAGGCCACCTTGTACTGCTCCTCCAGCCGTCGCTGGTAACCCAGCAATCTGTTCTGCTCTTCTGTCGCCTGCAGAGGGAGAAGAGCAAATAGTCAGTAAGCTAGGCAGGTTCTACCAAGGACTACATAGCAATGTCCCCTTTGACCTACCCTTTGTCACACAAATCTGCACATTGTTTAAGTTTTCACATTTCTTGGAAAAGGGTGGGATTTTCCCATAACATTTTGCATCCAACAAGTGGGTTATAACATTCCCCTCTCACAAGTCGCATAAATCTCTAAATTTACCGAAAATGTGGGAATTTTTTTTTTTGGGGGGGGGCAAATAGAAAGACTTGTCGAGGACAAATAAAGGACGAAGAGGAAACCACAGTACTGAGGAGTACTGATGATTCCACAAACAAGGTACCGGTGAAAACAAAATAGAATGTCAATATACAGCACTCACTTTGGCTGCAAATTCATTCCTTGCTTTGGTGTAGTTGTCGTGCGCTCCATTTAGCTTGTCTGCCTTGTGCTGAAACTCCTGCCAGTGAAAATCAAACCAAAATAAAATCCCGCTTAGATTCCAATTTTGCATGTTGATGTGAAATTCGGGAAAATATGCCAAACTTCTCGAGTAACACCTGATGTCTGTCTCAACAATCTACAACACAGATGTTTTACGTATTATTTTGTTTTTCTAGGTTTTTACTTTGGTCAGACGGCTGGTTTGTTTCACAATACTCTGGCCAACCGACAGTCAGAAAGGTTAGCTGGTTACGCACCAGAACAGTAATAAGTATGACACCTGTTTCACTCTGCATATAATTAACATTTGATTTTGACATCAGCATTACATGTTAACTTTGGTGATCCTGCTTTGTCAATGTGAGCGGAGTTGTTCTCAAACTTGAGGCGAAATTTAATTTGATAGAATGCAGTGATTGGCTAAAATACTGAAATTTGTTATTTGGACATTCACTGATACATGTATGTGGGGGGGGGTTGGAGTAAAAATGCCCCATAAACGCTGCCGCAAACTGTCTCCTAATTTGGAGTCATGATTTACAAAATGTATGGTCTCCAAACACTTTACCGTCATTTTGAAGCTCTCAGCAACTTGACAGTTAGCCATTTCTTGGAAGTCGTCATTCTGATAGTACAGGTCCGACAGCAGGGAGGGCTTCTGCTCACGGCAAAACTGCACGTCAGAAAAATCAGCAAGAACAAAAGACAGCACCGGCTTAACGAAAAGAACGAATAACAACATTCGGGCTGCAGAAAGTCAGTATAAGACCCATAGGCAAGTATAAGACCCAACTGTAAAGTTGGTTTTAGAAAAATAGTTCTCTTTCAATGATCAACAACGGTTAATTAGAATACACTGTTGGTCTGTTTACCTCTCATAATGAGAGACAATGTTAAGTACATTATATTGACTGGCAAGGAGGGCAATAGTTAATGTCTGTATGCCCTCAGGACTTAAATGGTGTGCAATAGTGTCCTATCATCCTTGTGCGTTACCTGCATGAAAAGGCTCTGGGCCATCGGCTGGTTGCGTAGAGACATGAGGAAGTCTCCCATTGGCATAGTCTCCTGCATCTGGAGTAGCACCAAGTAGACTGGATACAGGAGATGGAGGTGTCGATCAGTAAGCAGAATAGAATTCCTCC